CGGGATTGCGGCGCGGAATGGAAGGATCTGCCTTTCGCTGCGGGATGACCCTACACCCTAAACCCTAACCCTAAACCCTAAACCCTAAACCCTAAACCCTAAACCCTAAACCCTGAAACCCTAAACTGGTTCAATACTACCCTTGGTAGCCCAGCAACCAAATTGTAATTTAGGGTGCCCTTTTTTGGGGGGTTGGTTAGATTCTTAGGGAACCTTGAACCAAGAAAACGGGCAAAAGATCAAAAGGGTAGGACTGGGCTAGCAACTACCCTAGCTTCGGGTTTCAGGGTCTGGACCCTAGTGCGTGGGGACGAGGATTTCGGGCTTTTCGGGTCTGTTCAGAGTTTAGGGTTTGAATCCTTCAGGGTTCAGGGTCTTGGGTTGAGGGCGAGAAGGACCAAGTCTGAAGAATCTTCCTAGACCCTCCGACGCCCCAATAAGCCTAGATACAGGATATCCCCATGGGCCGAACAGGTTGTTCTTGTTCTGCAATAAGGGACAGCAGAGGCGAGCCTCCAGTTTGAATTGAAAACCCTAAACCGTAAACCTAGGCTCTCAACCCTCAACCCTCAACCCTCAACCCTCAACCCTCAACCCTCAACCCTCAACCCTCAACCCTCAACCCTCAACCCTCAACCCTCAACCCTCAACCCTAAACCCTAAACCCTAACCCTGAGACCCTAAACCCTAACCCTGAAATCTCCATGGCCAAGCCGCAAGCCAAGCCCCTAAAACTCAACACCCTCAACCGAAGACGCGAATCCCTTCATCCTAAGCCCGAAAACCCCGAACCTCTCCAAACAACGTAAGCCTGAGCCCCAAAACAACCAACACACACACACACACACACACACACACACACACACACACACACACACACACACACACACACACACACACACACACACACCCACACCACCCACCCACCCACCCACCCACCCACCCACGACACAAACCCACACACACACACAGGACAAACAACAGACACACACACAGACACACACACAACCACCACACAGACAGACAGGACAGACAGACAGGACAGACAGACAGACAGATAACACAACCACACACACCACACCACACACACCCACAACACACACCACACACAACACACACACAACACAAAGAGACACACACACACAACACAACACACACACACACACACACACGCCGCACGCACGCACGCACGCACGCACGCACGCCGCACGCACGCACGCACGCACGCACGGCACGCACGCACGCACGGCCGCACGCACGCCGCACGCACGCACGCAAGCACGCATCACGCACGCACGCACGCAGCACGCACGCACGCACCACGCACGCACGCACGCACGCACACGCACGCACGCACGCACGCGACGCACGCACCACACACACACCACACAACACACACACACACCACCACGCACACACACCCACACACACACAGACACACACACAACACACCACACACACACACACACACACACACAACACACAGCACGCACGCACACACCACACACACACACACACCCACACACACACACAGAGACACACACGCACACGCACACACACACACACACACCACCCACCCACACAGAGACAGACACCACAGACAGACAGACAGACACCCTAAATCCTATAAAGCTCGCCCCCCCCCCCCCCCCAAAGCAACACCCTTTACCAACCCCAGAACCCCTGAACCCATAGCCTCAGACTCGGCGCTCAAAACCATCCAGACGCAGATCTTCCAAAACCCCTTAGTTAATCAAGGAATATACCTAATTCATAGTAAGAATCCTTACTTGGCTGCTCTTAGCAGGGTAGCTATAAATTAAATTTTAGCTGCCTTCTTAAGAAACCCAATAAACCCAGAAAGGCCAAAGATGTAAAGTTACAGTAAAGCACCACAAAGCTTAGTAAAATGAGGAAAATCTTTCTGAATTAACGGGTTCTGCAAGATTTGGAGGAACCCCACCGAGACCGCAGCCTGAGCTGCTCCACGCAGACGTTGCAGGCGTCGTGCCGATGGAAGACGTTGGTGAAGTGGCAATCCTGGCCCTAAACCCCTATAGCCCTAAATCCTAAACCCTAAACCCCTAAACCCTAAATCCTAAACCTCTCTATCATAATGAATTTAAACCCTAATTCAAAAGTGGGCAACGGTGATTTTCGGCTTCAAAAGTGGGCAATGGTGAGTTTCCTGGCCTCAAAAGTGGGCAATGGTGAATTTCCTGGCCTCAAAAGTGGGCAACGGTGACTTTCCTGGCCTCAAAAGTGGGCAACGGTGACTTTCCTGGCCTCAAAAGTCTCAAAAGTGGGCAATGGTGAATTTCCTGGCCTCAAAAGTGGGCAACGGTGACTTTCCTGGCCTCAAAAAGTGGGCAACGGTGACTTTCCTGGCCTCAAAAAGTGGGCAACGGTGACTTTCCTGGCCTCAAAAGTGGGCAACGGCGAATTTCGGCTTCAAAAGTGGGCAACGGTGAATTTCGGCTTCAAAAGTGGGCAATGGTGAATTTCCTTTTCCCGGAGTTTTTTCAAGGTTTTTCAGTGTTTTTCACGGTTTTCAATGTTTTTCAGGATGTCTCAGGGTTTTTAACCCTCAATTCTGATGAAGGGCCGCCGCGCCCTTTTCACAGCCTAGTTTTGGTCAAGGGGGGTCGTATTTTTCAATTTTAAAGGCAAAATAGTCTTCGGAGACCCCCCCTGCCTCAAACTCCGACCCCCCCCGTGAGAAGGAAAGTTTGCCTCCAAAAACACCCCAAATGAGAGGGACCCCAGGATCGGCCCGGGTCCCAGTGAAAAATGCGATTTTTTGGTACTGAAATCGACGGTTCTGGGTGGGCTCTCGTTTTCTGGGTTTTTGACCAAAACCGAGCCTTCACCGATAGGGGCTTTTAAACCGTAGAGTTTAGGGCCCTAAGAGCATAAATTTTGGGTCCGTTAAAGACTACCTACTGGGAATGTATTGAGTGAACTTTGTATTTTCTCAATGTTATGGGTTTCTTGGGTGGGTGGGTGGGTTTTTTTTCCAACGCTTGACAAGCTGCTTGACTAGTGAATGCTCGGACTTGAGATGCTGAACCCTAAACCTTTAACCCTAAACCCTAAATCCTAAACCCTAAACCCCTTCACCCTCAACCCCAAAAGCCTTAATGCCCCCACTACCGGAAACCGGACACCCTGGAGTCTCGTAGCCCGTTCCGAGGCCCAGCAGCATGAAAAATGGGCTTTGGGTTTCGGGCTTAGGGTTCTGGGGTTTAGGGTTTAAGGTTTAGGGTTTAGGGTTTAGGGTTTAGGGTTTAGGGTTTAGGGTTTAGGGTTTAGGGTTTGTAGGACGAGTGGCTCGCTGGTGCTAAAAGCACCCGGGCCGCTCGCCCTGCGCTGCTATGATGTCCCACCCCAACCCCCCTGCTTATTCTCATTTAGGGTTGAGGGTTCTACCCCCAACCCCCCTAACAAGGGGGGCCCTTGGGCAGCAAAAACGTAGGGGGTAGCAGAGGCCTGGACCGGCCCCTGCTTTTGTGGGTAAGCCGGGAGGGTCTCCAAGAGGCCACCCCCGTAGCCTATGGTGAGCGATTTGGGGGTAATACTATATAGCTACTATGGTCGTGTATGGCTACTATGGTCGTCTATGACGCAGTTAAGTCCAGGCCGCAAGGGCATGCCAGGGAGGCTTTACCCTCCCTGGCCCGCAGATTCGTCCTCGGTTCAGGGCTTAGCCCTGCCCGGAAGGCTCGGGCGCCCATGCATATGGTCAGCGGCGCCCTCGCCAGTTTAGGGTTTAGGGTTTAGGGTTTAGGGTTTAGGGTTTAGGGTTTAGGGTTTAGGGTTTAGGGTTTAGGGTTTAAGGTTTAGGGTTTAGGGTTTAGGGTTTAGGGTTTAGGGTTTAGGGTTTAGGGTTTAGGGTTTAGGGTTTAAGGTTTAGGGTTTAGGGTTTAGGGTTTAGGGTTTAGGGTTTAGGGTTTAGGGTTAAGAAAACTTCGCCTTCGGCCTTTTCCAGCTTTTGGTCCGGGCCAATCTTCATTCCACTCTCGAACATGAGACGATGCCAAGCACTCAACGGACCGGGCCCTGCTCAACTCGTGTGGGCATGCTGTGTTTAGGGTTTAGGGTTTAGGGTTTAGGGTTTAGGGTTTAGGGTTTAGGGTTTAGGGTTTAGGGTTCAGGGTTTAGGGTTTAGGGTTTAGGGTTTAGGGTTTAGGGTTTAGGGTTTAGGGTGTAGGGTGTAGGGTGTAGGGTGTAGGGTGTAGGGTGTAGGGTGTAGGGTTCAGGGTTTAGGGTTTAGGGTTTAGGGTTTGGGGTTTAGGGCTTGCGGCCTTCGGTCGCTTGTGTCCAGGCGAGCCCCAGATCTTCTTGCGCTTGCTCACGCCCTGCACCAGTGGCAGCAATCCCAGAGGGTCCGTTTGTATTACTATTATGGAATTAGGTACCCAAAAGCCATACTAAAAAGGGTTTTGGGATACCTAATTCCAGAATGGCACTACAAATGGACCCTCTGGGAATGGTGCACACTGGCTGTGGCCGTAGATCTCTGCAAGGCTGAGCTGTCTTGTTGTCATGCCACGACTTTGAGGGCACCAGTCCGCTTGTGCCGAAGTGACAGCATAACCCGATGGTACATTATATGGTTGTTCTTGGGAAGAGGGTTTAGGCCCGCCATCTAAAGGTTCCCCAGCGACAACTGAAACTAGAGAACGGTTGTCCCGAAAGCATTTCAATTAGAGTTAGAGTCGTGATCTCACTATTTTAAGAAATTATCCATCACGACATCCAACGCGACAGCCATGACGACATCCATCCACGGCGACATCCATCCTTGCGTCAACGACGACAAGGAAGATTTTTCACAAAAACCGCTTTCCACAACGCGAAAGCACGCAGAGGGTTGTCGTGCGATCACGACACCGCGCGCACACGCAGAGGGTCATCGGTTTTGCGTTTCGACAACGCCAAAACACGCAGAGGTTCGTTCGTGCGATCGCGACACGCCAAGAACACGCAGAGGGTCATCGTTTTTGCCTTTCGACAACGCCAAAACACGCAGAGGGCTGTCGTTTCTGCACTTTTTTCACGAAGTGCCGCGGCTCCCGCCAACCCTACCCCCTGCTTCGACACAAATCAATTTCAAGAGGAATCCATCAAACTTCATCACGCCATCCATCCGGGCATCATCCATCACGCCATCCATCACGTCATCCATATAACGACGACTCTTTAACGACAACCACCTCCGCTGAAAAACCCTCCGCCATGCTTTCGGGAAAACAGGGTACCCCGCACCCCGGGTTCCAGGGCACCCTAGCCCTTAAACCCCAAACCCTAGAGCCCTAAACCCTAGAGACTAAACCCTAAAAACCCTAAACCCTACAAACAACAAACCCTAAACCCTAAACCCTAAACCCTAAACCCTAAACCCTAAACCCTAAACCCTAAACCCTAAACCCTAAACCCTACCCCCTACACATTTGGCTTCTGTCGAGGCTCTCATGCCAGTTTGAGGGGCTCCACACCTCTGCCTTTGAAGCCCTTCCTGGGTCTGGGTTTGAGGGTTTAGGACTTTGAGTTTAGGGTTTAGGGTTTAGGGTTTAGGGTTTAGGGTTTAGGGTCTAGGGCTTAGGGCTTAGGGTTTAGGGCTTAGGGTTTAGGGTTTCGGGTTCAGGGTTTAGGGTGTCTAGGGTGTCTAGGGTGAGGTCCGCAGTTAAGTCAAGTCTTCCGAGCGTCGTAAGAACATCTCGTGCTGCGCCTCTTAAATCCATTGCCGGGCCCCGCTGTCCCTTTTTGAAAGGGAGAATATCCTCATCCCTATCAAAACCGTAAAAAAACCCGGGGACCGTCTAGGGGTTAGTGATTAAGGGTTGAGGGTTACCCTAAAACCGAAACTCTGAACCCTAAACCCTGAACCCTAAACCCTCTGATAGGGCTGTTGGGTTTAAGCATTTTTTAGGTTTATCCAAGCTCGCGGGTCCTCGAAGATCTTCCAGAAGCAAAACTGCTTTCGGCCGCTTAGGTTGCCGTAGGATCCTGCCGCTCGAGGTACCCTAAACCCTAAACCCTAAACCCTAAACCCTAAACCCTAAGCCCTAAACCCTAAACCCTAAACCCTAAACCCTAAACCCTAAACCCTAAACCCTAAACCCTAAACCCTCTGGCAGGGCCGAGGTGGGCTCGGAGTTTCTCGGAGGTAGGCTTGAAGGGCCTAAGTTAAGGTTTGAACCCTAAACTCCAAAACCCGAAAAACCCTGAAACCTACAAACAAGGGTTTAGGGTTTAGGGTTTAACCCCGAAACCCTATACCCTAAACCCTAAACCCTAAATCCTCCCGTGCTTCCTTGAACGGACGGCTGCATGCAAACCCTAAACCCTATACCCTTAACCCTAAACCCTCAACCCTAAACCCTAAACCCGCAACCCTAAACCCTAAACCCTCCCGTGCTTCCTTGAACGAGCCGCCGCACGCGCTCGGCGTCCCCCGGGTCTGGGAGCTGTCGGAGGACCTGCCGAGATTAGGCCGTAGGGTTGAGGGATTCGGGTTCAGGGTTCAGGGTTCAGGGTTCAGGGTTCAAGGTTCAGGGTTCAGGGTTGAGGGTTTAGGGTTTAGGGTTTAGGGTTTAGGGTTTCGCTCAGAACCCCTAAACCTTCAAGTGCTTCCAGTAGATACGCTTGGAAGGCTACTAAGCGCGTCGTTGTTGGCGGCTTTGGAATTCAGGGCTTTGTGCGGTTTTGTGTCCTTACATAGTATACGGTACCCCAATTAACTTGGGGCCCGTAGTTTAGAGAAGACCCCATCGTTTCGTTCTACTGGAGCACATGTCAAAACCTAGAAACCCCCTCGTCCAAGACCACGATCCCTCCGATGATGTGTGCTAGTGCGAACCCCGGCATAAAACTTCGCACCCGCACGGTTTCGGGTTTAAGGCTCGAACCCCACACTCTACATCGAAATCTACAGAAACCGTCATGCCTTTACCCTAAACCCTAAACCCTAAACCCGACCCTAAACCCTAAACCCTAAACCCTAAATTCCTACCAACGACCCCAAACGAATGCCCAAAATCCCGCGCCCAAAGCCTCTTCAAAGTGCCGCAGCGTCGTTCCCTTCGGATCAGAAGCGAAATCCTCCCAGCGAGTATGGGTTCAGGGCTTGCTACCATGGGGTTTAGGGTTTAGGGGTTTGAGTGTTTTGGGGTTTTGGGGTTCTGGGGCCTTGGGGCTTTGGGGCTTTGGGGCTTTGGGGTTTTGGCAAAGCACCAGCAAAAGCACCAGCAAAAGCACCAGCAAAAGCACCAGCAAAAGCACCAGCAAAAGCACCAGCAAAAGCAGGAAAACGTGGCCAGGGAGTGATCACACGTTTTGCCTGAAAAGTTGTGCGGTTTCTGTTGCTGCTCTTCTGCTCTGCTTCCGCAATTTCTGGTGCGACTTTCTGTGCTCCTGTTCGTGCTAAGTCTGGTGCTACTTCTTCGGCTCCTGTTTGGGCTAGTTCTGGTGCAACTTTTTGTGCTCTTGTTTGTGCCATTTCTGGTCTAAACCCTAAACCCTAAACCCTAAACCCTAAACCCTAAACCCTAAACCCTAAACCCTAAATGCCTTCGTTCGCGCCCTGTTTCTGCCATTTCGGTGCTACGCTTTCTGCTTCCCCGAGGGCCAAGGTGGTTCAGATTTCTGGTGCTCTCTTTCGCCTGCATCCAACGTTTAGGGTTTAGGGTTTAGGGTTTAGGGTTTAGGGTTTAGGGTTTGGGGTTTGGGGTTTGGGGTTTGGGGTTTGGGGTTTGGGGTTTGGGGTTTGGGGTTTGGGGTTTGGGGTTTGGGGTTTAGGGTTTAGGGCTTAGGCTTTGGGGCTTGGGGTTTAGGATTTAGGGTTTTTGTCGATTATTCACTTGGTTTTCAGAAGCTCTCCTAGTCATTACAGATCTCATTGTTGGTTACAACTCTGCACGCAGTGCGCTACCAATAGGATCGTGCTACAAGTTTGGCCCTTAAAATCTGACATACTCCCAAGCAAGATCCTCTAAAACCCAACAGGGAAAATATAACACATAGGCCAAAGGCCTACCTCACTAAATCCTACATCCTGAATCCTCGATACCTGCAACCCTCAACCACGAGTGGGACAAAGTACTATATGGGGTCGGGGGAGTGTGCGCCAAGTTCGGATCCATTTGCTGAGACCTTGCTTTTCTGGAGCTTAGGACTTACAGTCGAGGACCTTGTGTGCATGGGGTTTTATGATACAGTGTACTCAACAGAACAGCCCCGTAGCAAAGTCCTTGGGGTACTGCTCGCGGCACTGGCGAATGCTTTCCTCGCAGGGTCGCTGGGGTTGAGGGTTTAGGGCAAGGAGTCCTGCACTGTAAGAATAGGACCCGGAGCAGGCCCTTACTCCCCCCTTTTTTGTTTTTTCTTTGGGGGGGGGGGGGGGGTTAGGTTCCCTTATCAACCCCTAGGAAATGAGCCCACCCACCCACTCCAAAGCTCAGGGATTCTGTGGATTACCTGAGAACGTTTATGATACAACTACCCCAGCAGGTCCATGATGTCATGGTAACTCAGATCTTCCAAAGCCCCTTAAGTAAGGAATTAGCCCTGATTTATACTAAGGACTAAGGATCCTTATTGCGAACTAGCTAGGCTGCCCTTAAAGGGGTTTATAAGGGAACCTAAAAGCCCCAAAAGGGAATAAGGGTACTACTGGGCATCCTAGCTAGGGAATGTTCCTTAATTAAGGGGTTTTGCAAGATCTGGCAAGGCTGGGTACATTGAGCCCCCTATGGCAAGGACTTCTGGGCTTTCGGGGAGTTTGACTTGCGTGGGGCGCTGGTTTGGGGTTCAGGGTTCAGGGTTCAGGGTTCAGGGTTCAGGGTTCAGGGTTCAGGGTTCAGGGTTCAGGGTTCAGGGTCTAGGGCTTAGGGCTTAGGGTTTAGGGTTTAGGGTTTAGGGTTTAGGGTTTAGGGTTTAGGGTTTAGCCCAAGTGTCGCGGAACAGCGGGTACGCCAAGAACAAGTCGGGCAGCTGGTGGCCTTGTCGAGAGGGGTTAGGGTTTAAGGTTTAGGGTTTAGGGTTTAGGGTTTAGGGTTTAGGGTTTAGGGTTTAGGGTTTAGGGTTTAGGGTTTAGGGTTTGGGGTTTGGGGTTTGGGGTTTAGGGTTTAGGGTCAGGGCTCCCGATCGCTAACCTGATGACTGCGAAGGCTTGGAATTGTCGGTAGTTGAGCCCTAAACCCAGAAAGGCTCAACCCTAGACCCCTACTATTTGCTTAAGAACCCCACCCAAAAACACACACAATAAGAAATAAGTATAATAATAAAATCAGAATGATAATAATCCCTATATTGCCCTTATAAGGAAGAATGCTTGCATTTTTGGGGGGTTCTTAAAGCAACTCGTGGACCCTAAACACAGCACGGAGGCATGTGCAATTTCAGGCAGAGCAACTTTACCCTAAACCCTAAACCCTAAACCCTAAACCCTTTAAGCTCTGCCCGACACCCTGACTTCTAGTCTCCGTTGCTGCGGGATCTCAAGCCCACATTTCAACTTCCTTAATAAACCCTAAACCCTAAACCCTAAACCCTAAACTCCTAAACCCCTAAACCCCTAAACCCCTAAACCCCTAAACCCCTAAACCCCTAAACCCCTAAACCCCTAAACCCCTAAACCCTGAACCACTAGGGATGACGGCGGATGACCCATTGAAAGTGACATCACTTGCCATCGTCGCGTCTGCTGCTGATTTTAGTCAGAACACGAGACATGTCAATGATGCTGGTGACCCTAAACCCTAAACCCTAAACCCGAAACCCGAAACCCTAAACCCTAAACCCTAAACCCCCATATCAGAAGCAGCATCAAGGGCCGCAGCAGGCCTGGGCAAAGCTGCCAGGAGCCCAGAACGCACTCGAATTTAACCCTAAACCCTAAACCCCAAACCCTAAACCCAAACCCTAAACCCTAAGCCCAAACCCTAAACTGCTGCTTGATCTGCTCATGCGTGACATCAAGAGCAGCCAGCGCTTGGGAGAAAAAGAACTCGTGCTCAGAGGGTTTAGGGTTGAGGTTTGGGGTTTAGGGTTTAGGCTTAAGCGTTTAAGGGCTTCGGGCCCTAAATATCATTTCGTAGCTCCGAAAGGTTACGTTCTCAGAAATCGATCTTCGGAAGCGTTAGAGCACTGATTATAACGTTAGCTTGCTAAACTCTGTTCCGTTGAATACAAGGCTTAGGCCTACACCCTAAACCCGAAACCCTAAACCCTAAACCCTAAGCCCTAAGCCCTAAGCCAAAACCGTAAACTCTTAATCCTTATTGCAGGGATCCGATAATCCATCCATCCGGGTAGTTCTCTACTGTTTTAAGGGTGCCGTATTATATGGGGGATTCAAAACGGGGACCCAAATTCAGAGAACTACGCATCTGGCGCAGAAGAATTCGAATCGCCTCGCCCATTCGGCTTTTTCGGGCTTAAGGATTGGGGTCTCAGGGCTTGGCTTCTTCTTCTTCTACTTCAAGGATCTAGGCCTCAACCCTAAGCCCGAAACCCTTCGCACTTTATGCAAAGACCTGTCAGAACTAAAAAACGAAAGCGACGTCGAGCATGAGGGCTTAGGACACTTGGAGCGGTCTAGGCTTTGGAGTTGGGGGTTTGTGGTTTGGGGTTTAGGTTTAGGGTTTGGGTTTAGGGTTTAGGGTTTAGGGTTTGGGGCGCCTTTCAGCAGCTTCTCCACCTCTTGCGTGCCGAAGGCGTGGTTGGCGCCTGAGCTCTCAAGGGTTAAGGGTTTAGGGTTTCGGGTTTCTGGTTTAGGGTTTAGGGTTCAGGGTTAGGGTTTAGGGTTTAGGGTTTAGGGTTTAGGGTTTAGGGTTTAGGGTTTAGGGTTTAGGGTTTAGGGTTTAGGGTTTAGGGTTTAGTGTTTAGGGTTTAGGGTTTAGGGTTTAGCACTTAGGGCTTAGGGCTTAGGGCTTAGGGTTTAGGGTTTAGGGTTAGGGTTTAGGGTAGTTGCAACTTTCCTATGAAAGGGAGCCCGCGAGGGGGCGAGGGACCTCACAGAATGGCTACTAGGCTTTAGGGTTTCGGGTTCGGGGTTTGGGGTTTGAGGGTTAAGTTTAAGGTTTTTAGGGTCCCCCGGCATGAACCCTATCTGTTTGCACATATTCATAAACACACCCAAGTAACATCGAAAGAGCCCAAAAATGAAAAACAAAAACATTCCCAAGAATCCCTAAAGTCCGCCGACCCTGGCGGCGTGTTGGATGGTTTTGGGGGAGGGAACCCTCCCCCTCCCCTCCCTCGCACCCCAAAAAACCTTAAAAGGGGGGGGGGGGTGGGGGAACTTTTTCATAGAGGACGTTGGCGTCCACGCGTTTAAGAGTGAATGGGGTATACACCCTCCAACCCAAGGGCCCACACATCAGAACCCTTCAAGGGAGGCAAGGGACCATATGAAGGGCTCCCATGGTAACTACCCTTAGAATATTGCTAAAACCGCGCTTGTGCCCCTATGGATGGCCCCTATGGTGTGATGGAGTGCAGAGGCTTGGAGATTACAAGGCTTTGTTTTTTGCGGGGGGGGGGGGGGGGGGGGGGGGGCTTATGAGATTCTAAAAGGGTTCGGCATTGGGAGGGCTGTAAGGCATCAGGGACATAAGCTTTTAGAGTTAGCCTCTACAGCCTACAGCCAAGAAACAACCGGACTGGGGTTTAGGTTCAAGGTTTGGGTAGACAACCCTAACTACTTGCAATGCTCCCCCCTTATACTAGCAGTCCTCAATAGGGAAAATACTAGCTCCTATTAAGGACTGTTCGCATAAGGGCGAACAGCCCAACTAAGTACCCTAAACCTGTGCCAGCTTAAGCTTAGCTTGTCCCGCATTCTTCTGGGATGCCTCGTTTGTCGGCACCTGGCTGCCGTGCTTGCGCGCCTGCCTTGGGAGAAGGTGGGTTCAGGGATTTGTTTAAGGAGGTTTAGGGAGGTTTAAGGGTTTTGGGGCCTTAGGGTGCTTAGGGGGTTTCGGGGGCTTCGGGGGGTTTAGGGGGGTTTAGGGGGGTTTAGGGGGGTTTAGGGGGGGTTGGGCTTTGAAAAGTTCCTACAAAGCCGGATTCCCCAACAATAAACCAATAAACCCCGGCAAGCCCCCATAGACCTGTCTAAGCCCTAAACCGGACAGGTCACCCCTGGGCGGGAGCGCTTCCGCCGATCGTCCCAGGTCGATGGCTGCGGCCCTCACACAAGGAGCTCTTAGGGTTTAGGCTCTAGGGTTTAGGGCTTTGGGTTTGGGGTTTAGGGTGGGTGTTTAGGGTTTAGGGTTTAGGGTTTAGGGTTTAGGGTTTAAGGTTTAGGGTTTAGGGTTTAGGGTTTAGGGTTTAGGGTTTAGGGTTTAGGGTTTAGGGTTTAGGGTTTAGGGTTTAGGGTTTGGGGTTTGGGGTTTGGGGTTTAGGGTTTAGGGTTTAGGGTTTAGGGTTTAGGGTTTAGAGTTGAGGGTTTAAAGGGCTGCTAGGGGTCTAGGGATTCTGAGGGCTCGGGGCTTCGGGATTCCTATGCTGAACTTGGAACCCTGGCAAAAATATAATTTTAGCTGTGTGTTCGGCAAATCAAGACCCTAAACCCTAAACCCTAAACCCTAAACCCTAAACCCTAAACCCTAAACCCTAAACCCTAAACCCTAAACCCTAAACCCAAGTATCCCCAAGATTCTACGGTGTAGGGTTCCTTGTTGGATCTTTGGGCTTAGGGTTTGGGATTAGAAGGAGGGACCCCCACAAAGGGACCTTTAGTCTTCTTCCCCTATATAACCCTTATATTATATATATATACACCTTATGTAGACCCTAAAAAACAATCTTTTTCAAAATCCCCTCCCCATTCTCTAAAAAAGATGGTTTTTTGGGTTTTTTGGTTTTGCCTCGTAAAAGATGGTTTTGGAGCCAAAAACCAACTTTTACCTCGCAAAAAGATGGTTTTCCTGAGGCAGTCCACACCAAAACCATCCTTTTACGTGGGAAAAGTTGGTTTTGCTATGGAAAACCATCTTTTTGCGAGGCAAAACCAAAAAAACCATCTTTTTCAAAATCCCTTCCCCATTCTCTAAAAAAGATGGTTGTTTAGTTTTTTTGGTTTTGCCTCGTAAAAGATGGTTTTGGAGCCAAAAACCAACTTTCACCTCGCAAAAAGATGGTTTTCCTGAGGCAGTCCACACCAAAACCATCTTTTTACGTTGGAAAAGTTGGCTTTTCTATGAAAAACCATCTTTTTACGAGGCAAAACCAAAAAAAACATCTTTTTCAAGATCCCCTCCCCATTCTCTCAAAAAGATGGTTTTTTTGGTTTTTTGGTTTTGCCTCGTAAAAGATGGTTTTGGAGCCAAAAACCAACTTTTACCTCGCAACAATATGGTTTTGGCGTGGTGTTCTGAAGGAAAACCATTCTTTTGCGAGGGAAAAGTTGGTTTTCCTATGAAAAACCATCTTTTTACGAGGCAAAACCAAAAAAACCATCTTTTTCAAAACCACCTCCCCATTCTCTAAAAAAGATGGTTTTTTTGGTTTTTTGGTTTTGCCTCGTACCTCTCTCGGGCCAGAACCGTTCAGCTCTACATGTAGCTATGCTTGGAGGCTCGTTGGTTTTGGTCAGTCTTATATTAATCTCAGCAATAGCATTCCTATTCCTATTAATGTAAAAGGGTTCCTAACCATCTTTATAGGACTTCTTTTCATTTTACTTATATTCTTATGAACTTTCAGAGGGTTCTTATTCAACATCAGAGGATTCCTAATACTTTTCAATAGGGTTCTTATGCATTTCAACAAGGTTCTTAATCATTTTCAAGTGGCTCTTTTAATTCCAACAGGGTTCCTCTGAAATTAAAAATCTTTTTAAGATTCATACTGGTGCCTATTCATTTTAGTGAGTCTCCAAGTAATTTTAATGGTATTCTTAGAAAATTGAATAGCATTCCTCGCCCTATTAATTCTAATAGGAATCACATTAAGTCTAACAGGAAGCCAAGAAACTTTGAAAAGGAACCACATTGAATTTTGTAGGATTCCTATTGGTTCCTATTGTTTTTAGTAGGATTCCTCTTCATTTTAAAAGGATTCCCATCAATTGGTAATAGGGTTCTTAAAAATTTTACTGGGGTTCCTAATAAACTCCGATTAAAGTCAAAGGGTTCCTGACCATCTTAATGGGACTCCTCTACCATTTCAGAATATTCTTATGAATTTTCATAGGCCTTCTTATTCAATGTAGAAGGATTCCTAATACGTTTTTTGTAAACAGGGTTCTTATGAATTTCAACAAGGTTCTCAATCATTTTAAAGTGGCTTCTTTTAGTTTCAATAGGGGTCCATCTGAAAATGAAAAGGGCTCATACTTCTTTGTAGGATTCCTATTGGTTCCCATTCATGTTTGTGATTGCAAAGTGATTGGAATGGTTTTTTCTGGAGATTTGAATAGCATTCCTGTCTCATTAATTCTAATAGGAATCACATGAATTCTAACAGGAAGCCTAGAAATCCGAACCACATTTATTTTATAGGATTCCTATTGGTTCCTATTAAATTAGTAGGATTTCTCTTCATTTTCAAAGGATTCCAATAGGGTTCTTATGATTTTTAGTGGTGTTGCTTGATGGTAGGACCCTCTTCATTGAAAAGATTCCTCTTAATTTGTAAAAGGGTTCTTATGAATTTTAGTGGGGTTCCTCATAAATTGAATAGGATTCTAATTCATCATAACAATATTAAGAGAAATATTAATAGGATTCCTATTTAGATTTAATGGAATTCCCACATTCCCGTGAATTCAAAAAGGGTCCCTTTTCATTTTCACAGGCTCCCTACTATTCTTCATGGGGGGGGCCCTATTATTTTTCTACATTTTAATAGCATTCCCATGACGTTTGATAGGGAGTTCCTCTGACTCAAATATGATTCCAAGTCATTATTCCTATTGATTCAATAAAGAGTCTTATTAATCTTAATAGGGTTCGTATGAATTTCATAAGGTTTTTGTTCAATTAAGAGGGTTCTTATTAAATTCATAGCTATGACTAAGTATGGATTTCTTACTCCGACACGGCCTCACGGTGGGTCATGGGGCGGGGTGTGAGCATATATATATATATACATATACACATAAAGGGTCCCTCCTTTAGTTTTTTGATCCCACTTAAGCCCTTAAACCCTAAACTCCCTAAACCCGCATCCTACCTTCAGGGTGGAGGGCTTCGAGTTCAGGCATTTTTAGAGTTTTCCGAGTACTTCAAGTTTTTTGTTTTTGTTTTTTGTTGAGGGGGGGGAGGGGAGTTAGGTTTCGGTGTGGTGAGTTGAAAAGGGTATAAGGTAAATATATATATATACATAGAAATGTATAGGGGTAATATAGGGGTAATATAGGGGCAATATAGGGGTAATATAGGGGAATAAGATTAAGTAGGGGTCCCTCCCAATACACCTAGAGGAGAAGGGTTTAGGGTTTAAGGTTTAGGGTTATAGGGATATAGGGTTTAGGGTTATAGGGTTTAGGGTTTAGGGTTTAGGGTTTAGGGTTTAGGGTTTAGGGTTTAGGGTTTAGGTTTTAGGGTTTAGGGTTTAGGGTTTAGGGTTTAGGGTTTAGGGTTTAGGGTTTAGGTTAGGGTTTAGGGTTTAGGGTTTAGGGTTTAGGGTTTAGGGTTTAGGGTTTAGGGTTTAGGGTTTAGGGTTTAGGGTTTAGGGTTTAGGGTTTAGGGTTTAGGGTTTAGGGTTTAGGGTTTAGGCCTTGAGCAGCCGGCCGCTTCGACACAGGCTCCGAAGCACTCGGCGCCAGGGGCCCGCCCTGCGAGGCAAGCCTGCAAAAGGGAAGGTGCCCTAAACCCTAAACCCTAAACCCTAAACCCTAAACCCGCAACCCTAAACCCAAAACCCAAAACCCTAAACCCTGAACCCTGAACCCTGAACCCTAAACCCTAAACCCTAAACCCCAAACCCTAAACCCTAAACCCTAACCCCTAAACCCTAACCCCCCAGCAGCTTAAGGTTTCGGGAAGTCCCACTCCAAACCCTAAACTCTAAGCCTATAATGAGCCCGTCAGGGGTACCTATAACAACACCTTCTGAAAAACGCCATTCTGAGTCTCTAAGCCCAAACTTCAAACCCTCAAGAGCGACGTGCCCTAATAAACACATCAAGCCCCAAAGCTGACCTAAACCCCACAAGCTCGAGAGACTTTCAATCCCCTTACACCCCCCCTCAAACCTTTAGCCCCTAAACGCACTACACCCCGTCTACCCCCTAATCCCCAAACCCTGAACCCTGAACCCTGAACCCTAAACCCTAAACCCTAAACCCTAAACCCTAAACCCCAAAAGGGAACTACAGAGGCCAAGAAGCTCTGCGAGCTTGAGCCGGAGACGCTGCCACTGCTTGGAGCCCATGACGTGCTCCTTTGGGCGGGACGGAAGGCCTAGGGGCTCGTATCAGGGGTTTAGGGTTTAGGGTTTAGGGTTTAGGGTTTAGGGTTTAGGGTTTAGGGTTTAGGGTTTAGGGTTTAGGGTTTAGGGTTTAGGGTTTACGGTTTAGGGTTTAGGGTTTAGGGTTAGGGGTTTCGGGCTTTGGGAGGATGTTGGGCTTTTGGGTGCTTAAGGGTTTGCACGGTGAAGTGTTTAGGCTATGCCTTCTGGGATTTCGTCAATTTGAGAGTTTTTTCGGTTCTTTATTTGTTTGTACTTGGATGTTCATGGTACTTATCAACCAGTTATAACTAACTGTACTTATAGCCCTTTTATAAGCCCCTTAAGTGCCCTAATATGGTCATAAGGACAGTTACTAGGGGCTGTTCGGGGCTTATACCCCAAAACCCTCAACCCTGGCTCTACGTCATGACACCCTAGAGGTTTAGGGTTTAGGGTTTAGGGTTTAGGGTTTAGGGTTTAGGGTTTAGGGTTTAGGGTTTAGGGTTTAGGGTTTAGGGTTTAGGGTTTAGGGTTTAGGGTTTAGGATGCAGCAAGACGCCTTCTCGTCATCAGGCTCCGGCAACTTCTCCACCTTGAAGCGGAGATGTTGCAGCAGGGGCACCAGCCTTGGCGGTCAGAAAACCCTACTTCGAGCTTCCCTTAATCCGACTAGGGTTTAAGGTTTAGGGTTTAGAGTTTACGGGTTCGGGGTTTTGGGGTTTGGGGATTTTGGGGAAGAGGAAGCCTACCCTAAACCCTAAACCCTAACCCCTAACCCCTAAACCCTAAACTTAAACCCTAAACCCTAAACCCTAAACCCGAAACCGAAACCCTAACCCTCAACCCTAAACCCCAAACCCTAAACTCTAAACCCTTTGACCTTCAAAGCAACTGCGGCTGCGGCGCCGGGCGTCCCAAGTACTGACGCTGTCCAGGCAGAGCAGAATCAGGCGCCGAACCCTGCGCTGGAGGCCTTCCCGGTTTAGTTTAGGGGTTCAGGGGGGTTTAGGGGTTTAGGGGTTTAGATGGGTTTAGGGGTTTAGGGGCTTAGGGGTTTAGGGGTTTAGGGGTTTAGGGGTTTAGGGGTTTAGGGGATTAGGGGCTTAGGGGTTTAGGGGTTTAGGGGTTTAGGGGCTTAGGGGTTTAGGGGTTTAGGGGTTTAGGGGCTTAGGGGTCTAGGGGCTTAGGGGTTTAGGGGTTTAGGGGACTAGGGGCTTAGGGGTTTAGGGGTTTAGGGGCTTAGGGGTTTAGGGGTTTAGGGGTTTAGGGGTTTAGGGGCTTAGGGGTTTAGGGGTTTAGGGCTTTAGGGGTTTAGGGGTTTAGGGGTTTAGGGCTTTAGGGGCTTAGGTGTTTAGGGGTTTAGGGGTTTAGGGTTCAACCCTAAACCCTAAACCCTCAACCCTAAACCCTACTGAAGGATTTTTGTTGGGCACTGAGGGCTTCTATGGTACGATGGGTGTTTATTTAATTGTTGTTACGGGTGCCAAAGGTGTTTCTGTAGGGCATTTACATTCTAGGATGGCCCTTAACTCTCTCTGAAACACATTCCTGCAGATGATCCTCTTGCACCCAATAAGGGAAAGTAACAAATATCCAAGGGCCTATCCAGACTTGTTTACCCTACTTGGAGTTTAGGGTGCTTTGGGCTCCGTTGAGTGCTTAGGGTGTTCAGGGTACTCGCAGTTCTTGGGATTAGGGTGCGTGGGGTTTGTTTAGGCGTTTGGGTGTTTTTTAAGGGGCAATGAGGGTGTCTATGGTTTTTGCCGGTGATTGAGGTACTGGCGTTTTGCGGGTCCTGTTTAGGTTTTTGGGGTGCTTGGGGTGCTTCTGGCGTTTGGGCGTTCAGGGTGCCGGGCTTGAGGTTTGGGGTTCGGGACTTAAGGTGTTAGGGGTGTTAGGGGTGCTAGCGGTGCTTAGAGGAACTGTTGTTTAGGCCTTAGGTTATTAGGGCGCTTCTGCTTCTCAAGGGTGTTTTGGGGTGCTTGGGGTTGGTGCTTTTGGAGTTTTAGGGTTTGGGGTTCAGGGCTTAGGGTTTAGGGTGTCTTTTGGTGCTTGGGGCTCTTGGGCTTTGAGGGTGCTTTAGGGGTGAAGGTTCGGGATGTATTCCTTAGGGCCTATTTGTGTTTGGGTTAGGGTGTTTCGCCGTTTTGGATGCACTGGGGGCTTCGGGGGTTGAAGGTGTTTGGGGCGCTTAGAGTGCTTAGGCGGGCTTACGTCGTCCGGGCTTTAGGTTTCGGGTGTTTGGGTGTGGAGTTAAGGGTCTAGGGTCTCGGGGCGTCGTCGCCGTCCAGCAACTTGAAATACTACAAATTGCCGTACGGGGACGACGCCCGTAGACCTTAATCCCTAAATGCTCCATCGCTTGGTCTGTGCGGCTGACGCTGAGCAAGATATCTCCCAACCGAAGCCCGGAGCCCCGAAAATGGATCGCCGCGACGTGCAAGCGATCGAGCTCGGCGGCTTCTTCGCTGAGCGGCGGCGGGTTGGCCTTGGGAGGCGGGGCCGAGGAGGCACCAGATGAGCCAGCCGGTCGGACCGGCGGTCCCTTGTTCGGCGCAGCCGCCGGTGCCATGCTGTGGTCGGCGTCGATCTGGCGCCGCAACGTCTCAAGCCGGTCGGGCGGCGTGGGCTTGGCGAGCGGCGCCGGCCGGGGGAGAGTGACGAACGCCCGACAAGCGGATTCGGCTGCAATCGCCAACTCCGCCGCACTGGCAACTCTAAACCCTAAGGCCTTTAACCCGCAAGCTGCCCTAAGCCCTAAAGCCTAAACGCTCAACTGCCCTAAACCCTGAAGCCGTGAGCCCTCTAATTACCCTAAACCCTAAAACCCTAATCATAATCTGCCCTAAACCCTAAGCCCTAAACCTAAAACCCTGGACCCTGCTCTGGCCTGGACCCTGAACCCTACACCCCAAACAGCCTCGATCACTGCGGCTCGGGAGAGCCTGAAGGCTGATGGCTCAAGGCTTGTGGGTTTAGGCTTTAGGGTTTAGGTTTTAGGGTTTAGGGTTGCTCAAGGCTTGGGGTTTAGGGCTAGGGTTTAGGGATTAGGGTTTAGGGTTTAGGGTCTGTAGGGTGAGGATGCAGAAGAGGCTCGAAAGCTTCGTCAGGCGAAGAGCAGCTCTGGCCCGATTGTGGAGGGCCATTTAACATCTTCCTCCCACTCCGCGCCGTGCAAGGTGGCAAAGCCACCCTAACCCATTCCTTTTGGCCTAAACCCTAAACCCTAAACCCTGAACCCTGAACCCTAAACTCTAAACCCTAAACCCTAAACCCTAAACCCCAAACCCTAAACCCCAAACCCTAAACCCTAAACCCTAAGTCAATTGCCTACTTCCACAAAAACTTCTTCCGTTACCGATGGCACAGCAGGCCAGGTCCAGAAGGTGCCAGGGTCCATCAGAGCTTGGGTGCTTGGGTTTAGGGCATATAAAAAGGGTGCCGTTTTGTTTTAAAGGGGCTACTCTGGGTCCTAGTTCCATATAAGGGGCCAGTATACTGATCCCGAAGAGAACGCGCTCCGGCACCGGGCCTATCGTGGGGTGCTACCGTCCTCCGAGCTGTGGGAGGCGGGCGAACGACCTGGGTCGGCTTGCGCCATCGAGGTCGAGGGGCTTAAGCGCGGCCCCCAGCCGGCAGTAGGGGTGCGGCATAGGCCTTGAGTTTAGGGTTTAGGGTTTAGGGTTGAGGCTTTAGGGTTGAGAACTACGGCTTGAGGGAGGATCTGGGAACTCCAAATAGGGGAACCTTAGGAAGACAGGAACGTAGGTCTTCTTGCTGCGATCTATCGGCTTTTCTTCCTAGGTTCCCCGGTACCCTTTTCTTACTATTCAGCTTTGATGAGGAGAAATTTCGGGAACCCTTGGTTTTAGGGTTTAGGGTTTAGGGTCTAGGGTTTACGGTTTAGGGTTTAGGGTTTAGGGTTTAGGGCTACACGGTTTGGGGTATAGGGTTCAGGGTTTGATTTTTTGTCGCCCTAAACCTTAAGACCCGAAGTCTGGGCCGCAGCGCCTCCCCACAGGCCACCACTTGGGGCGATTCCAATGCAGCCGAGGCGTGCCGGAGGACGTACCTTTTGGTGTTTAAGGTTTCGGGTTTAGGGTTTAGGGTTTAGGGTTTAGGGTTTAGGGTTTAGGGTTTAGGGTTTAGGGTATAAGGTCTGGGGTTTCGCTTAACTTCACGAATCAGGGAGCTTTTGCTTGCGACTTCCTGAGAACTGAGTCTACGGGGATGTGTCGCGGGTGGCTGCGGGCTTCTTCTGTGACGTCCTGGGAGGCCTCTCGTTTCTGGAATTTTTCCAAAAGCTTCTTGGAGCGTGTTTTGGGCTTCTCCCAGACCATTTCTGAGCTTCTTTGGAGCCTGTTTGAGCTTTCCCCAGACCATTTCTGAGCCTTTTTGGGTCCTCTCAAACCATTTCTGAGCCTTTTTGGGCTTCTCCCAGACCATTTCTGAGCTTTGTTGGGTTCCTCCCAGACCATTTCTGAGTTTGTTTGGGTTCTTTTCACAAAAGCTTCTGGTAGCCTCCAGAAACCATGAAACCTTCGCGCGAGACCCTGGACGCTTCCGGGGGGGCTTCGAAAGCTTCGCTTCAGGAACTTTGGCGTCCTCCACAAGCTTCGAAAGCTTCGCCTCAAACCTTTTCACAGTCTAGTCTTAGTCAAGGGAGAGTCGTATCGGGACGCTGGCCCGGTCGAGGGGCAGCGCTACCCCTTCGGTAACTCAAATTGTTTTGTGCCGATGGTTTCCGTGCTGGCAAACGAGGATCGCAGACCCAAATGCCCTCACATAAGCACGTCGGGACGCTGGCCCGGTCGACGACCAGCGGTACCCCTACGGTAACCCAAACCAATCTGTGAGACACATGCCAGACGCCTTCCGTGATGGCAGATGCGGGATGCCAAACACCTTCAAGCAAACACGTCCCGATTTTCCTGCTGAAGAGCTACCTCACCCCCCCCCCCCCCCCGACCTTCTACGGTAACCCAAACCAATCTGTGAGACACATGCCAGACGCCTTACGCGGGATGCCAAACGCCTTCAAACAAGCATGTCCCGATTTTCATGATGAAGGGTTACCCCCGCGACCTTTTCACAGCCTAGTTTTGGTGTCAAGGGAGGGCAAAACATAGGGGCAGCGCTTGCCAGAACTTCACCTCTTTGCAGCCCTGCCCCCGCGAGGCTCAGATGCATGCGCAGGGGCACAGCCTGCCCCGCTGGAAAAAGCAAAAGCAGACTTTAGGAACTAAACCCTAAAAGTCAATATGCCGGGTGGCTTGGGGTGGGCTTACCGCCACGCGATGTTACGAGCGACCCGGGCAGAGGGGCCGGTTGGAAAAATAAGGTGAGGCCCCGGAGCCCAGCGAGCAACCCAGAACGTAACACACCCTAAACCCTAACCCTAAACCCTAAACCCTAAGTACTCCAGTAGGGTGCCAGGTGCACTGTTTGGGCTGCTTTGGCGAGTGGAAGGGGCTGAGAGGTCAGGTCTTATTCAGAGGCAAACACAAAAAACTCGGTTTGGCAGCCTAAGCCCTGAGGTTTAGGATTTAGGGTTGGGGGCTAAACCCTAAGGTTTTGGGGTTTAAGATTTAGGGTTTAGGGTTTCGGATTTAGGTTTAGGGCGAACCCTAAACCCCGAACCCACAAGAAAGAGAGAGTCAAGGGGTTTGGGGTTTAGGGTTCAGGGTTCAGGGTTTATGGTTTAGGGTTTCGGGCTTCCATATCGGGAGGTAGATATCTGGTAGGCATACAAGGCATACGTGCGCAAGGAAGGACCCTAAACCCTGAACCCTAAACCCTAAACGTCTTGGTTCAGGCAGGTGCCAAACCCCAACCCACCCCCCCACAAGACCAAGACAACAAAACCCAAGTCCCTAAATCCTACCAACCCCGAAACCCCAAAATCCCAACTCGAACCTCTAAATCCTAATTCAGCCTAAATCACCTCCACCCTAAACCGTAAATCCTAAACCCTAAACCTTAAGTCTATAAACCTCTGAGCACAAATCCCCAACCCTGAACAGTGACACCGTGGAGGACGGCAAGTGGTCGCAGGCTGTGACTCCCTAAACTCCCGCAACTCCCTCAAATCCTAAA